GAGGATGAGTGGAACAAGTTACCAAATATCATCATTAACTCGAATACGCTGGATAGCTTCAAACATAGGTTGGACGGATATATGAGCAATAAGGGTTGGGTGTAAATGGTACTGCCCATTATGGGCCAATAGGCCCGCTGCAGTTTCTTCCATTCTTATGTTTGTGTTATGTTTTTTATGTACACTATGTTTTATAAGGAATAAATTAGTTAAGTCATGCTTGATGTTTCACCCTTCCTCCCACTCTCGATTTGGTTTATGAAAAACCCAACCCAATGCCTAGCTTACTCTGCCCGCTACCTAACGAGCTACATACTGTCCAAAGGGGGGGGGGGTCTGGTGACAGCGACCTTAAAATTAAGATTAGAGTTAAGTTATCCCCTTAGAATTAGTGACCCCACAATCGGGCAGTATACTGGGACTTGGTCACAATTTTCGTAATGCCATATGGCAGCAGGGTCTGCCACTAGACAGCACATCATGCTTCCAATATCCTCCCAGGCGGCAGTACCTCCCTGTTTGGAAGCTGCTTACTACTAGGTAGTAGGCAGCTACCAAACAGGTAGGTACTACTGCCTGGGAAGAAATTGGAAGCATAATGTATTGTCTCATGGTAGACCCTGCTGCCACATGGCATCACAAAAATTGTGACCAAGTCCCAGGTTGCTGAGCTGACTTTCTGCCTCATCTACACACAATTGCAGGGTCTCAATTGTTTCTCTTACTATTGACAACGCAACATACATGCAATAAATATTTTTTCACTATTGATCTTTTTTTTTCATTTTTGTATTTCTTTATGGTTCTTTATTAGTAGTAGTAGTAATAATAGTAGTAGTATTAATATAGTGTTGTTATTAATATTATCATTAATATTTATTTTTTAATTTTGTATTATCTATATATATATATATATATATATATATATATATATATATATATATATATATATATATATATATATATATATATATATATATATATATATATATATATATATATATATATATATATATATATATATATATATATATATATATATATATATATATATATATATATATATATATATATATATATATATATAGTATATATATATATATATAATATATATATATATATATATATATATATATATATATATATATATATATATATATATATAACAAAGAAGTATGTGTGTTTGTGTGTCTGCACGAGAATCTCGGAACTTACTTTACCGATCTGTAGTGATGATGGATGGTGTTATATGTAGTGATGATGATGCATGGTGTTATATGTAGTGATGATGGATGATGTTATATGTAGTGATGCTGGATGTTGTTATATGTAGTGATGATGAATGGTGTTATATGTATTGACGATGGATGGTGTTATATGTAGTGATGATGGGTGGTGTTATATGTAGTGACGATGGATGGTGTTATATGTAGTGATGATGGATGATGTTATATGTAGTGATGATGGATGTTGTTATATGTAGTGATGATGGGTGGTGTTATATGTAGTGATGATGGATGGTGTTATATGTAGTGATGATGGATGGTGTTATATGTAGTGATGATGTGTGGTGTTATATGTAGTGATGATGAGTGGTGTTATATGTAATGATGATGGATGGTGTTATATGTAGTGATGATGGATGATGTTATATGTAGTGATGATGGGTGGTATTATATGTAGTGATGATCTATATCTAAATAAAACAAATAAGTCTCTCTGTTTGTCTGTGTGTCCTCACGAGAATCTTGGAACTTACTTTACCGATCTGTAGTGATAATGGATGGTGTTATATGTAGTGATGATGGATGGTGTTATATGAAATGATGATGGATGATGTTATATATAGAATATGAAAAGTATCCCTCTGTTGTCATTGGCAACATGGATAAGAAATGTGAATACTGCGGTGCAAAGAAGTACAAAGGAGAATCTGCTGGACTGTCAAATTTGGAAAAACCACCACAACCATTGAAGACTCTCATGCTGGGAACAACACCAGAGTCAAAACACTTCTTGTAAAAAATACGGAAGTACAATTCATGCTTCCAGGTGACATCCTTTGGAACTACCAGAGTAGTTCGTCAGCACGGATACATGCCCACATTCAAAGTCCAGGGTCAAGTCTATCACAAAGCAGGATCCCTCTTACCACTGGAAGATGAGCAGGCAAAGTTCCTCCAAATCTACTTCATGGGAGATCATGAAAAGCAGACTACTATCAGGTGTGGCAACATTCAAGGTGTCAGACATTACATTGTCCTATCTATCCAAGAAATGCTGCATGAGCGCAACACGTATGTATAGTCTTTTAAAAATGCCCTGGAAAACATGCCTTCTGACGAGTACAAAGTCAGGATCAAAGCAGACACCTTAATACAGTGTTTTTCAAACTTTTTTTACTGCGACCCACAGCCAGAACAACAATTTGAATTGCGACCCATTAAACCTAAGTGTAATGATATGAAATGAGTAAATCAAAGACAAACACTGCTCTCCTTGCAGTCCCTTCCTAGACTGTGGAGTGTACATTTCAATAACCAAGCCTAAATTATGGTGCATTTATTTTTATTTTCTTATTTATTTTCGCGACCCATTTTATTTTTTTTCTTATTTATTTTCGTGACCCATTTTTATTTTGCGACCTAATTTATTTATTTCGCGACCCACTGAAGGGTCGGAACCCATAGTTTGAAAACCCCTGCCTTAATACACTACAGTGAGACAATGTGGAGCCTCCCGGAGGGTTGCGTCCTGTCGTGGCCTGTGCTCGGGTCGGCTAATCCCCGTAAGAAAAAGAAAAAACTTACTACCTCTCTCCGCCGGGAAGGACGTCCCCTATCAACCTCCCGACCTCCTCCTCGTGACTACAACTACCGACGCACACATCATCACACTCACAGTAAAAGGTTTGTCCCTTAATACTGTCAATGCCTACGTGCCTCCCTCCACCTCTACAGTACAGTCCCCAGCCGTCACCAACACCCCTTCCTCATGACCAATATTCCTCCTCCTGCATACAGGCTTGGCATTTGACTTATTACGGACTTGCCTTGCCTTGCCATAAACAGCTGTATTGTATCATGAATTCTCCCCCGCATACTCTTATTGTCACTATATGTAACTTGCTGATGAAATCCATGACGCTTCAGGCACTTACGACCTTAAATGCTTGAGTCGACTAGGCAAGCATGAACTCTGAGTGATTCCCTGTTGGACGCTGTAAACGCTTTTTGCGCTACGCCTTGCACGGGATGCAAGGGAGTGCCCAATAAACTAGCCCCCTCGTGGGGAAAATTATTATAATTATTAAATTATAAATATTCTTGTATAAATCAGGAGTATAAACGTCCCAGATCTATTATTGAGACAGTAAACCAATTGTGCCCACAGCTGATGTATGTTGTTTTATCTCTTCATGTTTATTAAGTAGTTAATAGTGTGATTTAGAACCCAAGTAATTATTGGTGCTATCTGTAATAACATCATTGTGTGTTATTGAAAAGTGAATAGAGTGACCATCATTCTAGTGTCACCGTTGTGGAATATTACCCTTAAGTTGGTATCTTTACTGAATCATGTAAATGCTAATTGTTAAAGTAAAATTTCTCAGTATTAATTAAACCTCAGTGAAGTTCTTTTCGTGTGAGGGATAATTCAAATTGTCACAGTTTTAATATTTACTGTTAATAAATAATCGCAAAGTATAAAAAGTTTATCACCGCATCTTTCCTTTCCTTGATTATTGCTATCGCTGAAAATACAAGTTATTAACTCCTGTGCCTTACCTCTCATGCCATCTCACACTACCACGTTAATTGTGAGGCTTATTTCAAGATTTTACAACCCTGACTCCAAAAAAAAAAAAGCTTACCCTAACAGTTTTCTGAATTTAATGTATGAATTCCTTCGGACAGTGAAGGGAGGTGGCTGGGTGATTGATTGGCCTGTGTGAACAGTGCGACCAAAGTGATCGTGAATGCGTTTTAAAGTGTCTTTTTTTTAACAGATATATGCTGGCCTACAGCTAGCCCACGTAAGCTGATAACTACTAATGATTGTAAGTGTGTGGGCATTTGGGAGCTGAATATCATTTTCAGTGAAATGATTTTAATAAGCTTGTTCCTACAGGGAGATGATATATTTTAAACAAAGTGCCTGTTGGATACTGTTTATAGCCGAGGATTCAGTTGAGAGTTTTGCTACATTAAATATAAATATATTTCTTGACCAAACTATTATCAAAGAGTGAATTCCTGATGTGTTTAAGTTTTATGTCAAGTTGAAAATAGCTGGAACATAAACCAATATGTCTGTGGGTGAGGATACGAATTAGATTTCGTTTGAAATCAATTTACTGTAGATAAAGGTTAAACATTTTTAGTCAAACCAGTGAAAGAAAGTTTTTTTTTTTGTATGAAGCTGTCGTAAAGCTATTTTGGTGACAATGGGTATGAACATCAGGGAAGGGTAGAGGGTTGTCCTTCTCTAATTCACTTGTAAATTTTTTGTTGCCATATTTCGAATTAAGGTAGTTTAAAAATTATAATAGGACGTGGTCAGGTGATCTACATGTGTCATCGGCATAACTAATGCTGGCACTCATCCAAACAGAGTTTTTTCACGAAAATAAAATTAAAATACCTGGCTAACCTGGGACCTAAAGAATCTTGATTATTATTGATGATATTTATAAATTATCAATTTTCACGAGATTTCATCCTAGAGTTACAGAGTCATTTTTGGTGGGATGAGAAACAGAAGGTGATAGCATTAGTAATCGTTCAATAATATTATTATTGTTGCAGCAGTCATAGGTTGTCTAAACTTGAGTACTATACTCATGACCTTCACTGTAATATAAGAACTGATCTGGTCAGTCAAGAGCCTCAGTGGCTGCTACCCTAAACGGTTCACATGTAATAGCAAACAAGACAACACTGTCATAAGTGTTATAATATAAATGATTCTTTACAAGGTTGTAAGGAAAACTAAATATGTAATTGCAGTGCATTTATATTAACACGAGGTGAAATAATAATTTTTATTAATAGGTAGAAATGCAGTAAATATTTTGTTATTCTTTCTAATAGCTTAGCTAATATACCTATTGTGGTCCAGCAAAAACAAGAGGGTATAAATTAAACAATACAACAGCTGGAGCACCATCTAATACATCACCAGTTACACAGAGCTGATACACCAAAAGTCTAACAACTATACATACACCAATAAATACCGGTACATAAAGTAATGCAACGGAAGGAAGTGATAGTATCAACAAATAACAGGCGTTTATCTGTATTAGTCAACACGCGGTAGTACTGTTTGAGCAGGTGTCATTTACTTGAGTTATTATCTTACTCTTGGAGGAGTTGTAGTTCATCGTCCATTACTGCATCAGAAAGTGTTTATGTTTCAGCATAAGGATAAGATTCAGTAGTGTGCGGGATTGTCGAAGCAATGGCAGGTTGTGGTAAGGCTTGAACAGGTGCAAGAACTTTAACAGGTTATGAGCCTCTTGACAGGATGAAGAAGGAATATTGCAGAGTCCTCTCTCGTGTGAAAAGATGTGATCGTGGTTGTTGCAGCCTAAGTCTTCCACAGCAGCACTTCAGTCTTCTCCTTGGCCTCCAGGTCTTCACCTCATACTTGGTATCTGATAATTCCCTACTTAACAGAATCATATACACCATCACTGCCTTTTCTACCTTTAGTACCTTACCTCCGGTTATTGCTATTGCCCCCGCTATTGCCTGGGTTGCCGTTATCACCCTTATCACCCTTATCACCCTTATCACCCTTATCACCTTTAACACCTTTGTTACCTGGAACCCCTTTATCACCTACAACACCTTTATCACCTATATCACCTTTTTCACCTTTACTACCTATTTCACCTTGATCACCTTTATCACCTTTACCACCTTTATCACCTACACCACCTTTATCACCTACACCACCTTTATCACCTACACCACCTTTATCACCTACGCCACCTTTATCACCTTTAACACCTTTATCACCTACATCACCTTTATCACCTTTATTCCCTTGCATGCCTTTACCACCATTATCTCCTTTCATGCCTTTCATGCCCTTCATGCCTTTATCACCAACAGGACCTTTAGGGCCTGTAGGGCCTGAAGGACCTGTATTACCTGTCATACCTTTATCACCTGCAGGACCTGCAGGACCTGGTGAACCTTTAGGACCTGCAGGGCCTACATCACCTGCAGAACCTTTATCTCCTTTTAAACCTTTATCACCTCTGGGACCTGCAGCACCAGCCTGGCCTTTAGCACCTGCAGGACCCGTGGGACCTGTAGGACCTGTATTACCTGTCATACCTTTAGCACCTGTAGGACCTACAGGTCCTGTTTCACCTTGCATACCTTTAGAACCTGGAAGACCTGCAGGACCTGCAGTACCTTTAGGACCTGCAGGGCCTGTAGGACCTACCGGACCTGCAGGACCTGTATCACCTGGCATACCTTTATCACCTACAGCACCTTTACCACCTACCCCGCCTGCAGGGCCTTTATCTCCAGGAACACCTTTAGAACCTGGGGAACCAGAGGGACCTGCAGGACCTGGAGGACCTCCAGGACCTACAGGGCCTGCAGGTCCTGCAACGCCAGGAGCACCATCTGGGCCAGGAAAACCGGCAGGGCCACGATTACCAGTAGGGCCACGAGAACCGGGAAGGCCAGGAGTTCCGTCATGACCAGGTTGGCCTGCAGGCCCAGGTTTACCTGGACGACCACTTTTACCTGGAGAACCAGGTGGACCTGCTGGACCTACGTTACCACCACCACCACCACCACCACCACCACCACCGTCACCGTAACCACCACCACCACTAGGCTTGCCTGCAAGTAAATCACAAGAAAGTTACTATCAAATAAACAAGGACTGAACAGATCCATATACAAAAGAGGATAAAAAACACAATGGTAGGTGAAATGTTTATTTTAAACAGTTTCGGCATCAACTGTCGCCCTACTCAGTGGAGTTACAGATAAGGACTGGCTGAGTAGAACGATTGTTTGGAAATAATATTTCGTCTGCCATTGTGGAATTTTTCTCTTACATTGTTGTTCACGTTATAGTGACGTTCCAGTCGTCAGCAGATCTATGTACAATCGAACAGGTATTAAAATTTATATCGCATTTTTAATAATAATATTTAGAAAACTTCACTTCCTTGATAATTATTTCATTACGACTTTTGGGCACGTAATGTCCCCTCGTTAGCTTGCCACTGAAAGTTACAACTAGGGAGAGACAGAGAGGAGGCTTTATATATCACACTAATTAATTTATGAAGTCTTCTTCTATATTCTGTGTGCTATATATTTAAGCAACATTTCTCCACTTTATACTCGTATGAGGTCTTATCATGTTCCTGTGATACTCCCCTAAACATACCACAACACCTTCGTAACTCACTCTACTGCTCCTCTCCTATGTAGTCTGCCCCTATCCCTTCCTTATTTTACTGTACGATAGTCTATTCAGTCACCTTTCCTGCCCTTCATAAAATCTTCCATACTCTATATTTGTGGGGGGTTTTTATACCCAATTCGGCATCTTCGTGGTGTAGATTAATATAATCTTTCCCTTTCCTATTTGTATTTTCTTTCTATTCTTATTTTTTAGCCCCTTGGGCACCGTTATGGGCCGATGACCTGAGCCCGGGTGGGCTAATCCCCGTACAAAAAAAATAAAATAAAAATAAAAATAAATCATTTTTCTTCTCATTTCTCTTAATCTTGATGATAGCGCACAAGTAATTGATATTTATTTTTGTCATTCCTGACTTACAGTCTACTGCATAATCTTTCTCCTTCTGAAAATAAAATACGGTTGGAAATAAACCTCTTCACACAAATTTGATACACATTTGCAGCTCATTTATAATTGTTATTATTACTTATGATAATGCATTCTTAGAGTATGCTTTTCCACTACTACCTTATTACACGTAAAACTCTAAAATCTAAATTCCTTATCTCTTTTATTCCCTTCAGTCACATAGGTTGCTTAATGTTTAAAAATATGATATAACTTTTGATCGTTTTCAACTTTCACCTCCTACATTCTTCACACAAGTTAATCCAAAACTTTCTCAACAATCTGCCAGAGAAGAAATTTGATTTACGTGAACTGTTTGTTTCCTAAATATTTTCGTTTCCTCGCAAACCAGGAAGAATTTTATTTTTGCACACGGCCACTCAAAACTATTTCGCATATTTTAACAGCTATACTCAAATAACAAGTTCTTCATAATTTTCTAAATATTCATATTCACATTTTTCCTTTATAAAGGGTATTGACGATGGCTTCTCTCGAATCATCTGGCACAAATTCACCTTTCCATATTCTTCACTAGTTTCGCTCTCTCACACATACACACTACTACTACTACTACTTTAAAGTCAGTTGATATCGACTATGACAATAATCCAACGATGACAGTAAGGCCAATGGAAGTCATGCACATGTCAAGGCGTTGTTCTCTACCACAGGTTTTGTACCTCTTGTATCAAAAAGGACTACCATCTACCATTATCATTATCATGGGAACACTCTCCTTACTGAACGTGTTCAACGCCTATGCTCCCTCAGATCAGCTTCACTACACAGATCTCTTCTTATATACTGAACCCACTGTCCTATTTTAGGACCTGAGCACTAGACATAAGATTGACAACCACCATTAATACCAATGGAAGGAGACATATTTAATTATTAAGCTCATATGAAGATGTTCAAATCATTGTTGATAGCGCGCCTTCACACATCTATGGCGGGCTTTAGAGAAGTGTATTGGCTTTAATCTTTCATCCACAACTTAGAACTCCGATGTAGCTACTGATCTTATATCTAATTACAAACCAATCCCAACCAGTATATATGTAGCCAATGCCACCCCCCATTGGTGGAAAACTTAACAAACGTAGACCCACAGTCAAGAAAGAATAAAAAAAACATTTTAGAGACTTCATTTATGACTGGTACAAGGATTACAAGCCTAACAATTACCAAAATCTCTTCACCAACAATGTCTTCTATAACCAGGCTGACTGGTGAGGATTACAAATAACACAGGACTCCTCAAATGATAAAACTGTTTCAAGCTTCACTCACTTCAGTCCGGGAGCGCGCGAATGAACATAGACAAAATGCATGGGGAAAATGTGTCAACACCCTGAACCAACACACACCCCTTAGCAAAGCCTAGACAGACATAAACACAATCAGAGGTAAACACAGTAGGCACGAATCCCATCCAAAAACGCTACAAAAATATAATGACCTAATAATGAAGTGGATTAATGTCTTTAACTATAACATGTTACCAACTAGGAATCGAGAGCACCTTGATGCCAAGTCTGTAGAACGAAGTAATCTCATCAACTTTATGCTGAGCAAACAACACGATGTGTGATGTTCCATATACTAGGTGGGAGCTTAACGCTGCTCTCCTTAAGGATAGATCCACTGCTCCTGGTAAGGACGAAGTCACCTTCAATATTGTAAGACTACTAAGACGTGTGCTGGCACACTCTATTAATGGCATTGTACCATATGAGTCATGCCGAAGGCCAACTACCCACATCCTGGACCAAAACCAAAGCTGGAACACCCTGATGCCTTTGGTCCCATATCACTAACTATCTTTCCTTTGTAAGACTTTTGAGAGGATGGATCTCGGAAGACAATCATAAAAGCGTACATAATTGCATCACCACATACCTAACAGTGCATGGGAATGAAAGACACATATACACCACATTTCTTGACCTAAAAGCTGCTGTTCATATTACCAATAAGCAAATTATGTTGTGTAAACTAGAAAAATGAATATAGGAGGTCGGCTGTAAAACTGGATAAGTGGTTACCTCACAAACAGAAAAGCAGCTGCACTGTTTCAGGGTTACAAAAGTGACGTCAAAGATATGCAACTTGGTACCCCCCAAGGTGGAGTTCAATGCTCTTATGAATGCATTATTAAAGTCAATCCCAGACAGCCCCAGCAATATTAGTGTCAGCTATGCAAATAACATTCTTATATATACTAAAACCACTGTGCAAACCACTGTGAACCATGTACGTACAGTCAGCCTGTGAGAACCTTGATCTCATCATCTCCACTGAGAAAATTAAAGTATTCAACAAACAAGCTGGTAACCATAAACGACGACTATCCAAACTATGAAAACTTAAATATCTCGGTGTCTCTATCTCCTCTGCAATACCTCACCTGACACACTGTACAACAGCTATCCCGCCAATGTACTGAGAGGTTAATACCCCTTAAATGTGTAGCTGGGTACAACCCACAATGTACCTAGGATATATAAGATCTGTGATATATTACCTCACACTAGCCCTGGTCCTTCGTGACGGGAGAGGCATTGACAAACTCAAAAAGACGCAAAATAAAGCTCTTAGAAATAACTTAGGCTGTCCCATGAACACCAAAGTACTCAATATGAGGAAAGAGCTAGGAATACCCAGTGTCAAAAACAGAATACAGTAACTGGGACCAATCTCATGATAGCCCATACAACATTGCTTCTAGGAAAGTGCTAAAATATATGAGTCATGAAACTGGTGAATTTAATAGATCCAAACTACTGCTACACATATGAGAATGTTTGGACAATACAATCTGTACATGGTTGATACACCAAAGAGCTCTTGAACACATACATAACCTATGAACTGAAAATAGCATCACACAGACCATCTACACTGTCTGTGGAAGGCCTGGCAGTGCTGTCATTGTGACTCAACCTAACGGTAATATAATAGAAAACGGAGCTAGAATTAATAACTGGGCATTCACTCAAAAAACTGAACCATTTGCTATACTCACAGCCCAGAAACTTGCTGAAGACACTACCACTGGCAGTCTCAAAATCACTACCCGCTCTTGATACCCTAAACTCAGATTGTCACCCACTTGTTGACGAGGTATTAGGGTCAAACTACTGTGGATCCCCTCTCACATACGCGTGAGTCAACGCGATAGAGTTGATGCCTTAGATAAACTCGCGTCCAATATATACAATGTTGAATAAAATCTAGGACTGTCAAACAGAACCCTAAAAACTGTAATCAGAAAAGAACTTGATGAATTTGAAGCAAGTAGATAAAGGCAAAGAGGCTTTAGTCAACCCACTATTTACCATGATAAGATGTATCAAGTAATACATGTCTACGAAGCAAGTAACAAAATCACTAGATAATAATACTTATCACCGCTAGACTAAGGTTAGGATTTATTGCATTCCCCCGGCAGTATGCCCCACAAACAGATGTGAACAACTCTAAATGTAAAGTGTGCAGTCAGACACAAGGCCACACATTCCAACACTACGTCATAGTTCGAAAAAAAATAAAAATAAAACTTATGAGGATAGATATGCGATGGCACAGCACTTTATCTGTGATGGGAAGATACCTGATATACTAAGGCTGTATCCACACTTTGCATCTAGCACCTAATAAAAATTATATGTACCGATTTAAACAAACAATGTACTGGGAATTGTATCACTCAATGCCATACTATCATGACCAAAGGGGTCCGATAAACACCCTTTGTGGCCTCTACTCTCTAATCCTTTTGCGCTACCATTCACAGGATAAGTATGGAGTACACAATAAACTAGCTGCTGTCCAAGGCAAATTAAAATTTAATTCACACATACATACATACATACATACATACATACATACATACATAAAAAACACACACACACACACACATTAACCAACTTGTGATAAAATGTTGGCTTTCTTCGGTACTGGAGGCAGGTGTTCATAGCCCAGGTAGTTGACCTTCCTAGATGAAGGC